CCGGGGGTAAAGTGCCTGGGGCGTGAAGCTGATCACTCACCTCCAACTGGTGCCGAGGTCATGAAATGTGGATTTATACATCCACTCCCCTATATGTCTTCAAGGCATAATTAGTTAACCACAGGGATAACTTTACCTTTGTAAGCAAATGGACAAAACTCATACACTGATGAGGTGATCAAAATGAATAAATTCAATTGATTCAAATTATTCCATACCTTGCAACAGCCATAGATAGTAATTCAGTAGAATTAATTTTATGAGTCACACTGACAGATGAGAAATGGTCATCTATTACTGTGTAAAAGGGTGGAGGAAGTGTGTTAAACATTTACTAACACATTTTGTGACAAAGAAGATAGTGTAACTTGAATTTATAACTGCAGCATGTTAATACTGTAAAAATTATAGTACTCTGAAGAACAGTACTTCTGTCACTATATAGCAATCAACAAGCCACCTAGTATGACCAGGTTGCTGCAGATCAAACCAAGTGATAATTTATCAGACAGGCCTTGGAGGCCCATAGGGTTGTGAAATGTCGAGGCTCCCACATTTGCTAGACAATTGGCTCACACATGGTGGCAAGGTTGTCAGCCTTATGTGCCAGCCACCCTCTACCCCAGGAAGATCCCTAGTACTCATTTCTGTTACAGGCTGAGTTGACCCCAGAGCCATACTGCAGCTGGAAGAATTAGGTAAACTGAAGAAACCAAAATCATTGGGAACTGAACCCACGATCTTCTGGCTTGTAGCACAGTGCCTCTACCATGTGCCCCCAGTAATTTTATCAGATAGGTGGGAATTAATACAATGCATCTAAGAGGAAGAGTATCTTTACCTAGCTCTGTATACAAAAATATACCATCTGTTAATAACTGCATGGATCATTCTTTTAAAGCTAACAGTTGCTCAGCTAGTTAAGAAATTCCCCAACTGTCATGGGACTCAAATTTTCACTGCTGTGTTCAGAAGCCTTCCAAGTGAATTCAGTTCATATCAACTCCCCCCTATCAGCTGGATGGAGGTAGCAGGTGCCTCCAAAACACTGGTAACCTTCCACCAGGTCACATGGCATCATATTCAAGGAGGCAGTATCATCAAGAATATTTAGATGTAAGAGTTGAAATGAGGATAAACCCCTGTTAAGCTGTATGCTCTAGCTGGAGTTACCAGGATCATGGGGGCTAGCAGACATCTTTCCCTTCACTAGCCATCAAGATTTTTGGAGAATATTAAAACTGAGAAAAGGAAATATATCTAATATTAGAAGTATGTTAAAAGATGATTCTCAATACAATAGTGTAGGGGTTCTCAAACTGCACAAAACTCAAGACCCTCTCAAATAAAACATAAATTTTATTTGACTCTTATCTTTGCTGGTCAACAACAAGTGCAGTTCTGCACACTGTTGCAAGTGTCTATCAGGCTGTACAGTAACAGCAGGAACCTAAATAGCTTTACAATGTTAGGACATTGAAGAATCCTTTCTTCTGCTATTCCAGAGTGTTTCTCCTGAGAAGCACTGTGCCTACAGAGTGATCCCCTCCTTATGTAACAAAGATTCATTTATTTAAAAACATTTCCAGTATTATTCAAGACGAAAATTTGTAATTTCAAAGAACTGTTCAGTTAATTATCAGTTATATTTATTACTTATATATTCATACTTCAGTACCAACCACAAATAATTCTTTTATGATATGGGAGTATAAATTGGCAACAAAATTGTTGAAGCACTACTGACCACACAAACATTCATGTGTATGTTCCAATTGCAGAACATGAGATAATTTTACACTGAAGTTCTATTACAAAGATGAAAGACTCTCTTTTACAGAACCAAGCTTTACATATGGAACTTGGACCTATAGTGTTTTCTAATACAGGACTGCATTATTCATTAATACATATATATATGAGTAAAGTGTGCTAGTTACATTTACAGTGAGCAAGAAGATCTGGGAAGAATTAATCGCGTTCTTTCCTTTGACGTGACACAGACCACACAGAAAGTGATGCCTCCAACATTTCTTTGTTGCTAGAGAAATACATTTACCAGGCTGTTCCTGCTGATAGAGGAATACACACAACCATACCAACATACATTCCTTAGATATGACATGGACTGTGCAGAAAATGATACATCCAACAATTCTTTTATTGTTGAGTTTGTTGCCACAGGAAGTGTTTAACTGATACACAGATACACACACAAACTAATGGGAAAGATTTATGAAGTACACCAACGAGATGGGCTCAGGTGCTATGATATATACATACCAGATTTCATAAAGAATGGTTCAGGCATTCATAAGTTGATATGGGGGATACACATACAGACAGATAGCAAGGTGATCTCATAAGCTTACTTCAATTTTTCAAAATAAGTAAAGTAGGCTAAAAATGGTTCATGTGGAGGTGAGTGGTCAGCTTCATGCCCCAGTTGGTTTACCCCCAGGGGAAAAAACTGGTACCCACTGGATAGGAGGCTAGGTGGGCCCCCGAGCTGGTATGGACTCTGTGAAGGAAAGAAAATTCTCCTTCCCCTGTCAGGAATCAAACCCCAAGGCATCCAGCCGGTACCCCTTCACCATACTGAGCTAAATGGCTCCCTTGCCAAACAAAGTTATAATACATATTTTACATACTGAATTGTCAAGTGGTTAATGATATATACATGTCATATGAATTCTTTTAGCAATACAGGATTCATGACAAATTCGTACAGGCAAATCATCATTAAATTGCTGGAATGTAGTTTACTGAACATTACTATTATTCAGGATATTACTGTAGAGACTGAAATCTGACCAAGATAAACAGAAGAATTTAATGATTTACACACTGCAGTCTTCCAGGATGACAGTATGCAGTTTGATAGTTACCAATGATTTCGAGGAACAATGCGTGCATCTTCTGGGTAGCTTGTTCCTCCAAATGGTGGTAAACATCCACCACATTACATGGCATCACATCCCAGAATATTGCAGTTTTAATATTTGTCATGGAAAACCTGAAATTTCATATTATGTGCATCAGATTAGCAATATGTACACCAGTGCATGTTGGGCAATAAGGATTGGCAGATGACAGACTAAGGTAGTGAACTGACGTTGTGATATAAAAGCCGATTCTTATATAATTCCACTTTACTTTTGTTTTGCAACAGTAAACATTTAAAAATGCATACAATATTGTGACATGTTGACCCATACCTCCCCAACGGCACGTAGCGGTAACATAGCGCTCACGTAATAGGCGAGTCATCACACCGCCACTCTCCCCGCGGTGACGTCACGAGCGGAGCCGAAGTTAGCCGAGTCCCCGCATCCTGGTAGCTATGCAACGTGCAACGCACGGTGACGCGGAACCGCTTCCCACTGTGACGTGGCACTCATTACATAACAGGCAAGCACTGCAGCTATATAAGTGAGCCGCACAGCGGCTGCGAGTTGGTTATAACGTAACAGTCGCCGAGTCGAGTTGACATATAGCGGCAGTCGCAGAGATCAATAGTAGTCGAGCGAGAGTGTGTTATCAACAGTTCTCCAGTCAGCCGACTACAAGTTGGAGTACAGCAGCCGTCGCGGAAAGAAGAACCGGACGTGTGTGTGATTGTGTAATTGGGAGTGTGTGATACAGTGATACATAGCTCCCCTACTGTAAACGTGTAGACTACTGAACACAGAGTGAGCTGATTTGCGCATAGGGTTATATAGTGTGAAACCCCGCAACAGTGGTAACAGAGTAATGCGATTAGGGTTATAAAGTGTGAAACCCCGCAACTGTGTGATAAGTAATTGTAGCCGATATTTGTAGATTGTTCAATAAACCAATTAACCATCTCTACGGCGTCTTCTGTAACGAAACACGTTACAATATAAACAACTAACAAATGGATGCATCAGTTCTAAAAGCTAGTAATAGTGGCACCAAAAATATAATTCCTAGAAGAACATTAAAAGACACCATGTACCATCTGAAGTTGACCACTCCATTATCGAGAACTTACTATAGTGACATTACCAGAATACAGAACTTTTTAGCAGAATTTATAGGCTTTCAGAAATAGGTGTGCCATCTGAAAGCAAAATTTTGAAAATAAGTGAGAACAGATCATCACTGCGAAATGGAGATAATCATGTTAGAAAAGTATTACTTCTAAACCAAATAATAAGACAAGTCCCAGTAAATCTGAGTGCCTTTACACCATCCACACATACCCTCTGCCATCTGATGAGAGAAGCATTAACCTAGTATGGCTGCATTTCCCAATGGCATGCTAAAAACAGAATCTAGAAACTTCCTAATGACAACATGATGGTCCATACCGCTGATGTGGATGCACCGGCATTCAAGTATCTGATGGACTTCACACTTTACTCCTATGGACGAAATAAATATCAACTGCAAGACTCTGTACATCAATGTGTTATTGCAGCTACATTACAAATCAGACTCGACAATTTCTCAAATAAGTTCTAGCACTGGAATAATGCCTTCATTCCGAAATATATAACAATAAATCATACCCTTATGAAATATTACAGTCTCCCAAAATGTAATGCCACATAGTTCGATAGCTACTAACATTCTACAGTAACCTGCTCTCTATCCATCTTCCACCTGATGCCCTGATGGTGGAGGCAGATTACTCCAAAACCCTGCAATCTACCAAATTAGTGACACATCCCAAATGACCATAATCTTCATATTCACCTCCATGGGGCCCTTAGATCTCACAAACTGCACTGCTGTTCATAAGTACTCAGTTACAGTAATGCAGTCTCTAAATGTAAACAGCATACAATGAATTTGTTACATATTCAGACATCAGACTAGTCGTCAATGAGACTGTAACTGCTGCCTGCTGCACACTCAGTTCAGCATGGTGTGTCTGTCATAGATATTACGTCGCTGCTCTCGTACTTGTCTCTTCCACTTGTCCTGTTGGTGACCCACCCTGTTCAGAACATTGCCTCTGACACCCATGGCATGTGATGATCCTCCACCAACACTTGTGCTTGTTTCGTCCTAACAATAAAAAATTATATAAGATTTGAAGGCTCAGTATACAGCAATCAGCCATGTCAATGTGGAGTTGCTGTCCACCATTACAGAGACTGTCCCTGTCTCCATCATCAGGGGCTGGTGTGATGAATACTGTGTTTGTTGCACACTATATTTATATAGAAAGTTCTCATCTGTCCCAGTGCAGACTGCATGGAGAACAGTGGACAGTCAGATTGTCAGTGATGTCCTGCCCCAGTGCAGGCTGCATCAGTCATCTCAATTCATGTTACCTGTCACTGGTCTCTCCTTACAAGGATTATTAAGTTCTTTCATATGCTTTATTATGTTTGTCACTGTATACCATGAAAGGATCACAGGGAAACTTATACTTCTGTTAAAAATGTCAGGGTGCAGCTCATTCTCAGTGGACATCTTAATTAAGTCATCCATGAAGCCTGATATTCATACAATACTGTGGTTTCCTTGAAGTTAATTTCATGCACTGAATATACTCTGAATGGTGTCCTTAATTGCTTTATGTATCCTGTCATTCTTGCCAGTATTTCAGTATCCTTGAAGTCTATTCAATGCAATGAATAAACTTCAGCGACACCACGGTACTGGCAAGAAATACAGGTCACATGGGCTATTTAGTCAAGGAAAGCCATGAGAGCTGGCTGCAACCCAATAACTTTAATATAGCTACAAGATCTCCATACACCATCATGGTACCTGCCTATGAACATAAGAGAACATATGTAAAAGTAAAGGTATCCCTGTAACAAGCAGTGGAGGCCCATAGGGATGTGAGATACTGAGGTTCCCACATTTTCTAGACAATTGGCTCATAGATGGTGGCAAGGTTATCAGCCTTGCGCGCTGGCAGCCCTTTACCCCCAAGAACATTCCAAGAATATTCCTAGTACTCATTTCTGTTAGAGGCTGAGTCGACCCCAGGGCCAGACTGCGGCTGGAAGGATTAGGTAAATTGAAAAAATCCAGTGACCTCATTGGGATTTGATCCCACAACCTTCCAGCTTGTAGCACAGTGCCTTAACCAACTACACTACTGTGTGCCCCCAAGAGTACATATGACAGAACTTAAAAACAATGACAAGCAACATGAATGAATCCTGATGACTGAATGTTCCTCCTGCGGTATGCACTGAGATATGAGCCCCCCCACCATTCACCATGCAGTCTGGGCTAGGACTGTGTACAAATATAGCGTGTGTGAACACAACACTCATCACATCGACCCCTGATGATGGAAACAGAGAAAGTCTCTGAAACGTTGGAAACCAAAGCTCAAGAAGACTTAACTGAAGGAATTATTTGTTACTATAAAGTAAGTTCATGTTCCAGAGTCTAACAGGTGTTCATACTTTCATTTCACTGAATATAATAAAATGAAGCTGATTTCACAGTTCTGAAAAAAATTATGCCATACCTCTTCATTGGTGTGTTCCTGGTAACTACCTTTTGCTCTCTTATTGAGCAGAGGATCCAAACAGATGAGGAACAGCATGTAGATCACCAACAGGGAGATGATCCAGATTACAATAATGACAACAACCTGAAAATTAAGTTACATTTTCATAATCAGATAAACTGTTGATAACAGAGAACAAAAGAAGAGTCCTAGTCTAGGACTGAACACCACCTTCAGTCTCAATAGAAAGTTAAGTTTGTACAATTAAAACAAGATTTTCTTCCTTTAATGATCTTAAAACTATACAATTTCTTTATTAAAAACGTCGCCCCACAACTACGTATATTACCTCATATATTAAGGTCAGTGCTAAGTTTGGCTCTGCTACATGTTTCGGCTACCAAAAGCCATCATCAGGCAAATACATGGCCAACATATATACACCACTGAACTGCAGTAATAGAAAAATTGGATACAATAATATTAATTATATTAAAATACTTGGCATAAAAGTACAATAAATTAGACTATATAAAACAAAAGTTATAGTATAAAACAAGATTAAATTCTTCAAGTGATGACATTTACATCATCGAGTCAGTCGGTTTTTGCAATTTTGTTGTGTTCCCACGGACAAATTGGAGTATTCTATATTTTGTGTATATATAATAAACTATTTTGGAGGCTCGTGATGTAGATGTAGTAATATTAATGTTAATTATTTAGTCAGTGCCTCATCTTACAAAGTACTGTCCATTCTGTAGGGAATGTAAACAACAAATACTCCAATTTGTCTGTGGAAACAGAACAAAATTGCAAAAACCAACAACTGACTTGATGATGTAAAGCATCACTTGAAGAATTTTAATCTTGTTTTATACTATAACTTTAATTTTATATAGTCTAATTTATTGTACATTTATGCCAAGTATTTTAATATAATTAATATTATTGTATCCAATTTTACTAGTACTGCAGCTCAGTGGTGTATATATGTTGGCCATCTGCCTGATGATGGCTTTTGGTAGCCAAAACATGTAGCAGAGCCAAACTTAGCATTGACCTTAATATAGTTGTGTTGTGACAGTTTTAATAAAGAAATTGTATAACACAACAGGATGCATGAAATGAAAAAAAAAAATTATCTGAAACTCTTGAAGATTTACATAAAAACACATGGCTATGAAAATGCATGTTTTATTTACTTCTACAAATTTTGTTAAAACCATGTTTTGCTTCACTATTTGGCAGTACACTTGAGATATGCATAGAAATGCGCATAGGTCTTAATGTAGTGTTCACTGTTTCTGATTTTAACTAAAACTGGTATGTTTTCACAAATTTTGGTATTTTTTGCAACTTTTTCTTGCCAATATGGCAAAAATGCTGTATTTTCAACAATCTTAGGACCATTCTTTACAGCACTAAATATCTGTGTCTTGATAGAAGAAAATTACAGTGGAACGATTTAATGTTCCCTGTCCACTCTCTGAGTTCTATGTAACAACTTTTTGTAATATGCAGATTTCTAGGGTGAGGAGTTCTTTGCTACCTATCCAACCTCTGTGCTCAGGACCAACCCTTGGCTGTCTGAAACTGCTCAATTCGTATCATAGCTATCCTCCATACCCAGAGGCTGCCTCCTCCATCTGCAACCTGCAGATTCACTAATATGGAACACCTGTTCACAATACAAACCTTGATGATTGTCGTGTTCCTACTTTCATATTTGCATTCACATCTGGGACAGAACTCCTGCTCCTTTCCTTTAATATCATCCCCAACTCGTGGAAGAATCACAGTGTCACAATTACTATTGAGAAAACAGAGAACACAGTGGAACATGTATAAGACTCAAGGTTCTTACATCAGTCAACTGCTAACTCTGTGGCCTTCTGGAATATGACATCCACTTTAGTTGATAGATACCAGTGTTTCAGAGGAACACGCTGCCTCTATCTTCAGGATAGCCGTGGCCCAGATAAGAAAAATGACACATTATACTAGTAAGATCTGGGATGTAGTAAGATGTTTTCAAGATTCTGTTTAGGAAACAAAATTTTTTAATTAAAATAAAATTATTAATTTTCTGTATTTATTAATGAGTGTATTATTATTATTATTATTATTGGAGGGGGTGGGTTTCCCCATGCACTGCGACCAGTTGTTGATCTATTGTACGTCCCCCTTTCATATTCTACCAGTCTCCATACCCTACCGGTACTGGTGCGTGCTATCAGCCCCATTGAGCCAATGAGGTCGGCCCTCGGTACCTTGATACTTCACCCATCTACCAGAGGCATTGGAAACTACTTGGGCGGGAAATTGTTGCCTAATTTAGCTCAGAGGTCTCCTAGAGACATGAGGTTCTTTTATGTGCCGTAAATCTACGACACGGGACACACGGCTTGAAGTCCCTCCTGGAGGACTTGTTCCCTGAATTTTTCCGCCCTTAAAAATTCCATGACCTCCGCCGGGCTTGAACCCACATACCTTGAGTCATGAGGTGGGAACGTTACCCCTAGACTATGGAGGCCGCTTATTAATGAGTGTAAGGCAGATTGTTAAATGTAATTCTAACATCTATCCCATTTTCATTACATGTGCATGCAAGTGTGTGTGCGCGCACACACGCACACACACACACACACACACATACAGCAAGGTGATCCCATGCACTAATTTTTCTTTCCTAAAGCCAGGGAGTTAGCTGAAAATGGAGTGCAAAAGACATTTTATCTAACTTTTCCATTTCACAATATGTATTCTACTTAACTATTGTCTACTTAACAATCCCACCATATAGCATCAAATGGTATGAAGATGAATGCAAAATAAATTGGAAAGATGTGGGAGGAAGCAGTCCTGACCTGCCTTGCGGAACAAAAGAATTATATAGAAAGACCTCTCATGACAGCTGATGACCTGGCCAATATTCAAACTGGATACCTCCAGAATACAAGTGTCACCACTTGGACCATCAAACTTAGAACAATGTGGATTCAATTGTAATACTGTAGTCAGTATTTCATTTTGTTTGTAGAACACAAGTTATACTCACCATTTATTTGGAGGTACGTTTCCAATATAAAGCTTCCGGTTGGACTGTGTTCCATTTACAACAGAAGGATTTGGGCACACACACTTGCATCTGACATCTTCATAGGACTGAGCCTGTACAGAGAGAAAAACAGATGCTCTCAGGTGGGGAATCAACATTTGGGTATGTACACAAGCATCAGCAGACTTTCCCTAACACCAACTCTACTAATTTTGTGGTAATTATAATATTTATTAAAAAGGAAGTGAAGTACCTACTTGTTCAGATTAATTTTCAGTGAATACTCGTACATCCTGTTGTGTATCATATATTATTTCTTACTGAAAACCATCATAACACAACAATCAATATTACATGTAAGTAGCTTTTGCTACATGTTTCGGCCTTCAAAAGGCCATCGTGAGGCAAATGCATTTCATTTTTTCATTTCATTTATTCAGCATTCCATAAATCCTTACATGGTTTAACACCAATGGATATAGAAATAGTCAACATGAGTAAATCACATACTGCAACACAGCTGTGTGATGTCATACCAGTTAAATTTAGTAATATACAACATGAAACAAAAACCATTATCTATAACAATAAGGTGCTATCAGCTACCAAATGTAACAAATCTGAAACTTTAATTGTTGTCACAGTTAAAATATTCATCCAATGAATAAATGACTTTAAAAATAGGAATTTTTTAACAGCAGACCTAAATTTTTTAATCTCATGAGCTTGATCTTTTATATTAGGTGGAAGTTTATTAAAAATTTTAATTCCAAAATAATTACAAAGTCAATAAAAAGTCCGTCGAGTGTAACTAATTATAGAGCACTTCTTTATCACTTCTGCCTTACATGTTTCGGTTTAATAAAAACCATCATCAGAGGCACATAGTACAAGCAAGAAAACACTGCCGTTGTTTAAGATGTACACAGTTATGTTTGCTGCGTGAACGCTGCTACAATACGTCGACGTGTAAAAGCACAACACTTGTTAGGATTGTTGAATGCACGTTCAATTCTCACATCCATCCGAAACTGCCCTCAAGTTAAAACGCCAATGTTAAAATATTTAAAAT